AGAGAGAGAGATTATGCGTGTGTTAAAATCATATACCATGCCGAGCTGCATTATCTATCAATCAATCAATCAATCAATCAATCAATCTATCTATCTATCTATCTATCTATCTATCTATCTATCTATCTATCTATCTAAATGTGTGTGTGTGTGTGAATGTGTGTATATGTGTGTGGGGTGAGTATGCGCGAGTGTGTATGTATGTGTGTGTGCGCGCGCTGGCGCGCTTTCGTTTGTGTATGTGCGTGCACGCGCGCGCTCGCGCGCGCGTGTGTGTGTGTGCATATGTGTATTTGACTGTACATGTCCTGAAATGCCATAAGTGTGTGTGCGCTTGTACTTGTGTGTGTAAATACGTTTCTCCGCCTCTACTTGTGCAGGTGTACACAAATGTGTCAGTATGTACCTGTTATAACTTATATTTTGTGTTATAAGTTATGTCTTGGCAAACGTCCCAAATGTAAAATAGAGGACAAGAAGAGGGATCTTCACTTTCTAAAAGATATCCATGAACTTGATCCTGGATTCGGGAAGAAATAGAAACGTGTCGATTTAGTAACAGCATCTTTAGATGAAGATAAAAAAAAACAACACTCAGCAATTGAAATTTACTGTTAAAGACAGTGGAGAGTTAAGTGTGGGATATACCATCGACACGCTCCCACCATCGGCTTTGCCAACGAGGACGGTTGAACAAATCTACGTGACATCTTTTCTCGAGAAGCCCTGGCATGGAGACAGAACGGGGCTACTATTTAATAGCCTCGGTGCACGGTGCAGAATCTACACACGTGAACTATATCTAATAACTTACGACTTCTGGGGTAAAGTTATGGTTTGGGATATTTCAAGAGTCAGGTAAACCAGATTTAACTTCGTTGTTGGAGGAGACACCTTTAACTCCCAGTACAAGCAATGTTTATGACGCTGCGTTGGAGATTGAACGAGTGTCGCCCAAAACGTGTCGAGAATTACAACGTGCAATGTTAAAATAAACCACAAACTGTAGCTGTGTCTTTTTAAGACCCCGTATTTTCGTTAACTCGGTTATCCTTTACCCTTTTACTGTCACGGCCGAAATTGTCCTGGGCATTTTGATAAGATTTAGACAACATGCCTCGCAGTGTGGAAATTATCATCATCATTATTATTATTATTATTATTATTATTATTTTTTTAATTTTTTTTTTTTATTGCTGTTGTTAGTATGATTGGGGCTGTCCCATTTGGCTCAGATGTTGTTATTTTGTTTTTTCACCTTCAAACGTTTTTGATCATTGTTTTTTTTGTGATATTAGGAATCTTGTCCCAAAGCAAAAAGATTATGATTCAGCTCTCACATGGGTGAGGCATCTTATCGAGCATCTCAGTTGTTTTTTTCACAGGATGTATACCACACAGTTGGGTTTTCTCAGATGGGTAAATTAGTTGGGGCTCGTCTCCTATCTTTCTTTAACAAATCGACTGGAGGTTTCGCAACAATTTACAACAAAACACTCTTTTTATAACTAATACTGTGTTCCATTTTGTTCCAGATTTGCCAGTGGCTCCCAATGGAGATCCCTTCGCCCCACCCCCAAACTACTACCCGCCCCCTCCTCCTCCAACTTACAGCTACCAACAGCCCCAGCAGTTTGGAGGTCCTCCCCAGCCGCCCAATAACTTCATACCTCCTCCCAACAACAACTATATTGGACCACCGCCTCCCCAGCCCATGCCACCACAGCCACAGTACTTCCAGCCTCTTCCACCCCAACACGGCGGATTCCAGCAGTTTAGTCCACCTGCTGGACAGAGGTGAGCATATAACTTATTTGAAAGTCCGCTTAGGAGAGGAGAAATGTGAATTGTGAATGACATTGATAAGAACCCAACAGTAACGTGCTGATGTACTATACTACTACTACTACTACTACTACTACTACTACTACTACTACTACTACTACTACTACTACTACTACTACTACTACTACTACTACTACTACTACTACTACTACCACCATCACCACCACCGCCACCACTACCACTGCTGCTGCTGCTGCTGCTGCTGCTGCTGCTGTTGCTGCTGCTGCTGCTGCTGCTACTAAGTGTCACCAAAGGAACTAAGTTGGAAAATTTTAACTTTCACAGGTTTGCATTATACATAGCAATGTTGTACAGTAGCCTGGTGTTTTGCCATCACAAGTCTGTTCAGGTTTTCGACAGAAGTTTCTCTTGGACTAGCCCTGCCTTGTTTGCCTTCATTTTTCCAGAGGGAGCAAAATGTTTGAAGCCTTATGACGTGTCAATTGCCCTAGAAAATGCGTCTATCGTTTCTTAATTGTTGTTATTAATAACGGGCCACGTGGGTTTCTTAATTTTTTCCTCGTTTGATTTGTTAAGAAAAACATTGTTATAAACTAGAACTTTCTTCTTATCATATCCAACAACTCGCACATTTCCCTAAACGGCGACTGCAGAATGGTTTAAGGCTTTTTCCCGAGCACACATAGGAGAGTAACTCGATTCTCCAGATCAAAAGACTTTATGGTACTTCTCCGTCTTTCTGCCGGTATGTAGGCTATATCCACGCATCAACCTGTGGGATGACCGTGATAGCCAATATCGAAGCAACACACAAAGACTTCCTAAGTAACTTCAATTTTATCCATAGAGAAAGTGGCGGTGGGTGGTTTTAAATGTGGGTGGGGCTGATTAATAAGGGTAGGTAGAGTTCAAAGGTAAGATTTCCTTGGCTCAGAGGACATTCCAGATATGTGTGAGTATGTTTCATTCACACACTCACACGCAAACGCGCTCATATGACCTTATACAGTTTTGAGCGCCGTAAAACACTTACCAAAAATAATTAATTAATTAATTACCAAAACACGCAAGCGCACGCATGCAACAGTAACTGGATTAGGCCATGGGGTCGCAGAAAACAAGGCATTCCTAAAACGTGGGCCCATGAGTGTGTTTTGGCTACTGGGTCTCTGTAGAAAGTGTGTCATGAACTTTCCCCCAATTGTATGGGTTGGCAGAGAACGAGCCCTCTGTAACAACAGTTTCCACGGGCTCTCGTTTGTTTCTTTCATCTTTTTTCAAGAAGAGTTTCATTAAGAAAGGACCGTGGGAATGGGCTCATCTTTTGCTTAGCCGTAAACACATTTGATTGGCTGTTAGGTTACTATCGTTGTAAGCGGTGACTACAGTGATTGGATAAATGAGCCAGCGTGTGTGTTTACCACATACAACTAAAGGCGGAGGCGGAAGATTCTGAAAGAGTTCTAACGGTTTCAACTGATTATCTCGTTTATTAGAAGAAACATTCATTTACTGAGGGAAGGAGTTGGGGGGTGGGGGGAGTCCGTGGGGCTCAAGCCCTTTAACCCTTCACTACGTCCCGCCGCTGCATGGAGACATAAACAACTTCAAAAACTAAACTGCAACGCTCTTTGTGTCTATTCCCAGTATCTACCAGCCCATGCCTGCTGCGGCCGCGGCCGCTATGTCAGGTCCGGCCTATTCGACGGGACCAAAGGAAGAATTTGAGGCAGATGGCTCCAAGGGAGGATACTCCGGGCATTCACACGCAATGCCAGCATCTATGGGTAAGTACCACGATGTCAAAAAATCCCAAAATAACAACTAAAAAAAACCCAACAACACCCCCCCCCCCTCCTGGAAAAAAAGGCACAATGAGGCTTTTGATTGATTAAACCACAGCTATAGTCCGATTGTCCTTGACACTAACTATCGATACGGTTATAGATAGTACTTAAAGGGAGCCCTGTATCAAATTGTGGATGGGCAAAGTTTGCCCTATTAAATTAAAAAGTCGACTTGCAAAATTCCACATCAAATGCCTCCGTACTGTGAAAATTTTATGTAAAGAGTATGGGCCGCCATTAGTAATATGTCCTGTACACGGGTGCTACGAGGGCGTCGTAGATTCAGACCAAGACTACTTCAAATTATGCAGCTCTTCACACCGAGACCCGTGTCATGTGATCGCTGGATCAAGCTCTGGAAACTTAAAGTTTACAGTCCAGTCCATTTGTAATAGCCTCTGTTATTACAGGAGCTTGGATATAACTGATATATCAAATGCCCGTTTTTTTTTCTCTAAAAGTGTAAGAAATATGAACCTGGCAATAACAGGGTTCACTTTGCGAAGACTCGGATATAACAGTGATCTTGCATTGCATGCACTTGCTTTCGAGCTGTCAAATTATTAAAATTTGTGTCAGCCAAGACATTTCACCTGTTTGAATAATCGCTTGCTTAGACAAAAACTTTCAAACACATACCCCCCCCCCCCATAGTGTTGGGGGTCACCGATGGATTCCGTATCTGTGTCAGCAAAACAGCCAACTGGAAAAGGATCCGCTGTAATCAAATATAATATAGCAAGCTGAAGGTGCAAAGGTGCTAGTAGTTTCCCTTGATAATGGTTATAACAGGACTCACTTGTTACAGGGAGAAACAGCCGGTCCCGTCAGTCCTGTTATATCCGAGTTTTACTGTATTCTTTGTGTTGCGGGTCTTTTCTGATGTTATTTTCTTGATGTTGCTGTTCTTGCTCTCGTTGTTGGTATTGTTTTTGTTGATATTGATGTTTTTTTTTCTTTTATTGTGTTTACTGCTGCTGTTGTAGGGCTGGTTGTTGCTTTTGATATTGATGCTATTGGTGCTCAATTTACAGAAGCTACTGGACACATGCCATATATCTAGAGCTACGTATATCGAATCGAGCTTCAGTTTGTTTGAAGTTATTCTCAAAAGAAGCCCAAAGAACTGTTGATATTGGAAATGGGATAAATTAACTGACTGACGGGCTCTTAAAAAACAACCCAAACCAACCAACCAACAAACAAACAAATAAACAAAACTATTTATAATTGTTATTATAATGATGATGATGATGATGATGATGATGATGATGATGATGATGATGATGATGATGATGATGATGATCACATGGTAACGATAATAATAATAGAAATAAATAATAGTGATAATGATAATAGCATTTTGAATAATCAACATCATCATCATCATCATCATCATCATCATCATCATCATCATCATCATCATCATCATTATTATTATTATTATTATTATTATTATTATTATTATTATTATTATCATTATTATTTTTATTATTATTATACTTATTATTATTATCATCATTATTATTATTTTTATTGTAGTTGTTATTTCTTAATTTTCTTCTTTCAGATTTCTTTGGCACCCCTCAGACTTCCCTCCTGGATGCCTACTACAAACCCAGGCAGGGCATGTACAACGGTTACAATAACTACAACAGGCAGAGTAACGACATTTTTGGAGGCTTGTTAGGAAACTCGCCAGGCGGAAACCTCTTGGGCGCATTTATGATGAACGAATTGATTTTTTAGTTTTTTTATATGTCGACTGCAGTGTCGTCTTCTTCCTTGAGCTACGGCTATGAATGTTACCAACATGGCAGATGCACTGACATGGGTTAATTCTAAGCTGCTGAAAATACAGAGGTTCAAATATAGCATTAACACAAAACTACGCCTTGAGCTGACACACGTCACGTTTAAATACTCGTAGTTGCGTACAGCACCCCAGGCCTTTACAAAGTCTCACAAGAGGAGGTGGCATTTTCATTTCTGATCCATACTTAGGAATCATGGGATATTTCTGGTCAAAAAGGTAAAGAAGTTCCTTCTTTTTGTGACAATGTTTCATTACTGGTTGTTCTTTTCCTTTGTTGCGTTGAATAAAATGAACAAAAACAACTTCCAAGCCCATGTTTGTTTGCTTAGTGTTCCTTTTTTAATTTTTGTTTTTGTTCTTTTTTTTTGCCTTGTTTTATTTTTTATTTTACAAATTAGGAATCATAAATGAGACGTAAAATGCTACTGAAAGACAAATTAATTCCAACCCCTACCCCCAACCCATCAACAAACAACCTAACATATATAAGAGTAAACAAGCAAACAAGCAATCGTATAACACGCAACTAGCAACCCGGCACCCCCTCCCCAAACAAAGAGACCCTAAACAAAATGTGATATTTAGCTGTAGAATATCCTCTAGTGCCTTTCCTCTCTTGGAGGTTACTGTTGGCCTTATTCTGGGGTGTCAATTTGCATCGCACGCTGCTAGATAACCGCCGTTATTGGGAATGTGTCTCCTTCTGTAGGTGTTACGGAGGTTAACCTCTTCGTAAAGGATTTCTTAGTGCTTACTTGGAAGGCCTACTATGTGTTCCTGCCAGATATAAAGGTATTAGTTCCTAAGTGATGACTTGGAATGCCCATGTCTTCTGGTGGATATATCACCTGCCTTTGTTGTTTGTATTTATTAAATTTGTTTCCCCATCAGTCTGAAAATTTGATTTTTAAAATTGTTTTTACTGACGTAAGTTTTTGCTTAGGATCTATGGCTGAGCGCAAGAAAGGACTATTGTCCTCTTTTGGTCGGAATAGAGTAATCAATATGAGATGTGAGATTTTAAGCCACTCTCTTACCGCCGTAGCTTAATTTGGTATCGAGATATTAACGTTTCTTTTTTTGACTATGTTATAGCGATTTCAATACCGTCAAAATTTCTAACTCATTTTTCTCGAAACTGTGTGAAAAATGGATATAGTCACTTCTTGCGCTCAACCGTCGCGATATCAGTTTTGACGAATTTGGCCTAGATTAATGTTGTGTATTTAACACCTTGATTCGACTGATCACCGACGTCTGTGGTACATGTACAGCGGTTAAGAGCGTCACTGTTGCATGCAGAAGACGGGAGTGGGGAAAATTTCTTATCGAGTATCTTGGTCTTTTTACTGGGATGCTGTATCCCTCTCAGCCCGCGTTGGTCTTGACAATGCCAGTCGGGAGTTCGCCTCCTGAATGATCTAAATTGTGTCGATGGGGGCGTATCACCTACCCCTTAAAAACCTCATGCTCTTCATTTAATTGTATATGGTAATAACATCACTGCGCTTCTTAGACTAATGCATTTCTTTTTTCGTTGGGTTCCCATGAAAGAACTCGGGGATAGCCGACCGCTGGTTGTCCAACCGGCAGTACAACCGATGTTAACACTTATTAGCTTTTTTTTCTTCTTCCGAAGGCCCCTTGCCCTCAGATTTCGAAGGTACTTTTTATATTAATTAGAGTATTTTCAGTTTTTTAAGGAATATATTTTGAATTTTGCCAGGGTGGTTCCTGAAACCTACTTTTAACGACCTTAAGATCAGCAAGGGATTTTTACGGTGTTTAATTTGCTCACAGAATGTCCGACATTTTTCGCCCTTATCCGAGAAGGCGCCGGCGTCAGTGGTGTAGGGGTTAGGAGCTTGCCTGTCGTACGTAGGAGATCCGAGTCCGATTTCCTAGTTGGGACAACATTTTTATCGAGTATCTCAGTCATTCTGCTGGTATGTTGTATCCCGCTCAGCCCGGGTTGGCCTGACAGGCAGTGTCGGAAGGAAGCCCACCTTCTAAATGATCTAAACTGTGTCGATGGGGTATTAAAACACCTACATAAAAATATGAGAAGACAACGTTTAAGATCTTATCTACTCTAAAGTCAGGGATGTAGTTGAAAGAGAGCAGTAAAAAGGAGTCGAGGGTAGCAGCAGAAAGAGTCAGGAGAAAGGGGGGGGGGGGGGGGAGAAGCAAAAAGGTTAGCGGGAGGGGTGGGTGTTGAGAGAGGGAATGAGAGTTGACATGAAAGGAGATGACAGAAAGGGACTAGAGAACAGCAAAGGTGGACAAAGACAATTTTAGAGAACAATATTTTTTTGGTCTCTGGCAGGTTTGGATTCAGGGATCTTTTAATTGATAGGCAAACACCGTACCTTCCATAGACCACAAGAGCCCCTCGCACTTTTCCCATGCATAAATGAGTTTTATTTACAGGCTGCATTATCAGCTTTCTCTACAGGTAGGATTTTTAAAATCGCTAAGTAGGTCCAGTGACAACGTTATGTCACTGAAGCCGAAAAAATGAGACGAAGCATCTTTTAAGTGACAGTTTTGGGTCCGATTAGGGACATCATTCAAGAAGGCTATGAACATCGAACAAAGGCTCTTCGGGTATAATCCATGCATGAACTGAAGTTACGCTGCTTCTAATCCAAGTTTCCGCAGCGGATTTCTTTTCTCTCAATGCAGCATAGTATGTTCGTTACTGATAGATCTAGCCGTGAAAAGCACTGCGATGGGGAAGCAGGTGAGAGTATGGTGATCTATAGTGACATAAACATAGGTGTTCTAAAAATAAAGTTTCTGGGTACTGTTAGAACTGTTTGGAATATGGTCTGGAGAATACGACGCCTTGCACCTGGAGCATAATGATATGCACCTTGCTCTCCACTACAGAACATAATTATTATTAGCTGTTGTGTGTGATGGTCATGCGTTTGGCTTGCTGCGCAAAAGACATTACCTTGATAACGTGATGGGGAAGTATTTCGTCTAGATCTAGTATCTCCTTTTATTCACCCAAGACGAAGTCAGCGCCTCGGCAAGCTTTGAAAGGCAGGCCATTTCCAAAATTATTTAACCTCTTCACCACCTGACCCGAGTAAAAAATGAAGCAGGTATGAGTAGAAAAGTGCATTTCTGTACTGCATAAATTTCTGGTTTTTTTGTATTAAAATTCATTGCCAATTTTCCCTTTATTTTTAGAAGTTTGATAACATCGTTTTCCTCTCTCAAAGTGACAGCCCAATAACCGCCACCACTGTTGATCCTACTGTAAGCGAGTTGATCTCGAGGAGACAACCTCTGTGTTAACAAACAGTGTCCCGGTGAGGGGGGAGGGAGGGGTGGATGAGGAGTAGGGGGTGCGGGATCAAGGGAATGGGGGTGGGGGGGTTGAAGATTGATATAAATGGTCGATTAGTTCAGGGAATGGGGTATATATAAGACAGTAAAGGGCGGGGGTTAAGGTGTACCACCCCTCCCCCCCCCAAAAAAAAAATAAACAAAACAAAATAAAAACAACAAAAAGCCAACAATAATAAAAAAAAAAAAAATCGAACTAACAAACAAACAAAGAACCCCCCCCCCCCCAAAAAAAAAAAATCGAACTAACAAACAAACAAAGAACCCCCCCTCCCCCGCCAAAACAGCCAACAAAAATCAACAACAACAAAATCCCGTAAGAAAACATAATTCAACCCATACAGAACAATGCGTTTCTGGTCACTTATGGAAAGAAATGGGTTGTGATAAACATTGAGGTTCAAGTAACGCAAGGATTCACTTCTTTTCTATTCAAAGTCCCACCAGAGAGCCCGGGACAGTTTGATCAGGTCAGGCAATGAGGAGGGGAAAATGTGCCAATGAGTCGCAATAGCGACCCGTGCTTTGAATAATATAAAAGTAGGTCATAATTTCATTGTTCCTGCGCCTAAGATGTAATTTTTAGCCTTTCGACTTGTCAGCAATTTCAAGTTCAAGAATGCCCTGTTCACGATTCGAACCAGAGTATACCTGACGCACGAACACACTGAGCGGTGGCCTGGGCGCCCAACGAGCATAGGGGGCCTAGTGCTGATCTATGCATGTGGTGACTGGATGAGATGAAATTTGTACCATACTGTACTATATAAAAAGGCTTCTGATTGGTACCTTTCGGGTAACAGGCATCAAACCTCATAAATAAAAGAAAGACCTTTGAGTTAAAACTAGCATCACCACCCCCCCCTCCCCCAGCACTTTATACATACACACACACACACACACACACACACACACACACACACACACACACACACACACACACACATACACACACACACACACACACACACACACACACACACACAACCCCCTTCACCCGCACTCCCACTATTTTTCCTCACTCAGTTTTACACTTGACTCAAACAGTGTACCGCGAGCTTATTTGACCTCATAGGCAGTTACGAGCGCCGTAAAACACTTTCCAAAATAAAGAGTGTATTAAAAATTAAGCTGGTTTACACTCTTCTTTGAAACAGTTTTGAATGAAAATCTCTAGATTTCAGGAAGCCTTGAGGGCCATTTGGTGCTCAAATTGACCCTCAGACCACAGAGACATTGCCAGTTGGAAATAACCAGCTGGTTGCTTTGTGCTGCATGCATCATAATATGCAATGTTCTAGCAAACTGAAGTTGGCCCCAGGGGCGCAACAACAAAGGGGATATAACTCTTGACACAATCTTTAAAAACTTTTTTCCTGTTCCTTCCCCTCCATCGATCACCTTTCGACACGAATCTAATCCAAAGGTGGGGGGAAGACAACGGTGCCTTCAGTGTCCTAATATGTGACGCAACAGTGTAAAAATGTCAACTCCACGGAAAGCCAAATTTCTATTCTCTTTGCTAACATTGCAGTGATTTTAAAAAATGATTAAGTAGCAGGAGCTTCTATGGAATAGGGGCTGTAATGTGTGATAATCTTTCTTTTTAGACTACATGTATTTCAAAATTTGCTTCATTTAACCTGCTTTGTGCAAACGGGCATGTATTGGTCAGCTTTTGTGACCTTCGAGACATACATGTACAAACCCTCACTCCCCAGTGATTATAGGCCCAACTGAAAATGTGAAACGGTGGATAACCTTGCTGATTAGTGTCTTTGAACATTGAAGTACCCCGATAGAACCAAATTGTTTCCCAAAACAGGCGCCGTAATAATGTTATACCTTCTTTACTGGATGACAAATAGAATCATCTGCATGGCGATACAGAAATTGTGGATGGTATTAAAATCACTTTGGACGTTTGTATAGAAAGACTACAACATTTT